TGACCAAAATGAGCTAGGGCTTGGCGTGCACTTTGTTTGATAATAATATAGGGATCTCAGGTTTCTTATGTCTGTTGTTTAAAAGTTTTTATATTCCTCCATCGCTTTCCTTTCTTCCTCTTTGTGTCTTTGCTTTTAGTGTAATGTGTGTTTTTTGTAGACAGCAGTGTGTATCTTGTAGATAGCTTGCTTTTTATTTTTTAAATATATTTTATTGATTTTTTACAGAGAGGAAGGGAGAGAGATAGAGAGTTAGAAACATCAATGAGAGAGAGACATTGATCAGCTGCCTCCTGCACACCCCCAACTGGGGATGTGCCTGCAACCAAGGTACATGCCCTTGAACGGACTCAAACCTGGGACCCTTTAGTCTGCAGGCTGACACTCTATCCACTAAGCCAAACCAGTCAGGGCGATATCTTGCTTTTTAAATCCTGTCCTATTTAATTTCATTTACTTTTCACATAATTATTGATATAATTGGGTGAAAGTCTACCATTATGCTTTTTTTTTCCTTTTCCTTTCAATGTTTTGTTGTTGTTGTTGTTGTTGTTAATCTAGCGCTCTTTTCCTGTGTCATTTTGAGTAAATTCAAATATATTTAGTTCCTTTGATGCACCACTTTTTAAAAAACTTTTTATAAGTTTCTGTAGATCTGAAACCATGCAACTTTAACTTATTGATTCTATTTAGAGTCATTATTAGAGGCAGTATTGTACCATTTAACATATTTCACTTCACACTTCATGATTCTCTGTGGTCTCTATTCACTTCCCACAACAGTATAGTTCAAATGAATCCCATTATTTGTGATAATATTGTTACATTTTAGTTCATAATATGTTATAAACCCTAACTTACAGTGTTATTGTTTTTGCTAAAATCCAAAGATTGACTGACTTTTTTTTAAGGGCTAGTTAGTATATGTTTTATGAGCTATATGGTTATTGTTAAAACTACTCACCTTTCATGTTGTAGTATGAAAGCAGCCATAGACATATATAAACAAATGGGGAAGACTATATTCCAATTAACCTTTATTGAGGAAAACAGTTGGTTGGTCCCCAAGTTGGAATTTGCTGACCATTGTTTGTTTGGCTATTTATTAGGGAAATTACAAGAAAAATAGAAACATAGACTTATCTTTACCCACTTATTTTCTGGATCTTATCAGCTTGATTTCATTTATCACCCAGCCTTATAGAAGATAATCAGTATACAAAAAACTGCACATAATTAATATATACAATTTGGTAAGGTTGGATATATGGATACCTCCCATTACCATTGCCATAATCCAGGTAAAAAACATACCCATTGCCTCCAAAAGTTCTCTTGTGTTTGTGTGTATGTGTTAAGAGCCCAGAAATAAACAGTAAGTTTTGTTTCTGAGTCAACTGATCTTTATCAGGGTTGCCATGAATACACAAGGAAGAAGGAAGTCTCTTCAATAAATGGTTTGGAGAAAACTGGACAATGACATGCTAATGGATAACATCGGACCCTTATCTTTCACTATACACAAAAATTCATGCAAATGAATTAAGATTTGAACATAAGATCTGAAACCACAAATTCCTATAAGAAAACAGGAGGAAAGTATCCTATACTTCCACCTATAAACCCTGGTTTCCACTGATAACCCTTCCTTTTAATATGAAGGATACTCTTAGCCATAATTTGTGGTATACTTTTGCTGACTACTAATTCTCTAGTTTCATTTTCCAGAAAAAAATATATTAAAATAGGTTTTAATGTATACTTTCATTGGATATAAAATTACAAACTGGCATTACTTTAAAGATGTTTAAAGATTTAAAGATGTGGTTCCAGTAGTTTCTAGCCAATATTGTTGCTAAAAGAGTGGATAATTGTCATGCATGTCATCAGAATATCATTTTGATTCTGGCATGAAAATTTCCGTCTTTGGTTATCCACAATTGAATTATAGTTTTCCTAGGTATAGATTTCTTTTTATTTTTCTTGCTTTGTGTACCAAAATATGTTTGGATCCATGGGTTTGACATTTTTTGTCCCATTCTAATTCTTTTCTTAAACTCCAATTACACTAATTTTATATCATTTTAAACCATCCCCCAGAACCTTGGGTGTCTCTATTGATCAAATTCTTAATGATTTACAAATATAAGTACATTTAACTATGTATACATACATTCTGGAACTTGGAAATTTTTTCCCATATAAAAATATGATAAATGGTGTTTGGGTTCCTACCATAGTTCACAAAGTTTACTTAAGCCACAAAGAACTATGCTTAACTTCTCCCTAACAATATCAGTGAATAAGATAAATGAAAATACATTTTGTAGTATTTTGTAGTACTGTAATTAATATTTTTCTAAGATGGACAGTGAATTATTAGCTGAGTTGATCACTATTCCCAAAATATCTTTGCATGAATTCTTTTTGTTCCTTTACAGGAAAATATTCTCAACTCCTGTATGAGTTCTCAGTGAACACAACCCCACTCTCCCGCCTCCATACTCTCACCCGCACCTGATATAAATAGAGAAAACACATCTGAACTTTTGAGCATTTTCTGAGAGCTAAAATAAATGTGAGGGCTTCTATTGCCTTTTAGTTCAATTCTATACATTTTTATGTGTAGTGAGAGCAAGTCCACTTTGAGTGGACTATATAACATTCATGACAAGTTGGAGAGTCCTCTTGAACTTAGTAAAAAAGTTATAACAATAAAAGTTTGAAATTTTCATAGTTAATTTAGTTCTCAGGAAGTAAACAGAACTGTTTTAAAATATCTGTTTTGTGGATAAAAGTATATGCACAAAATATATGTATCCTTGCACAGTTTATATTCACACTCTTCCTTATAGTTTCAAAGGGTTTTGCATTGTAGGAAATCCATAATGATTAATTCTGATATGTTTTAGAAGAAGTAATGGCCTTTCAAAGTTTCTTCTAGTCTCTGTTTTTATAAAATTGTTTTTAAATGTATTTCCCTGGATTATACTGTATTTAGAATTCAATCATTTTCCTTTCTTTCTTCAAAACTATTTTAGATTGTATGTGAATATATGGAAACAATGAGGTTGGTCTGAAGACTGAAAAGTAAAAATGTACACTGGAAACATATTACTACATGGGGCCATTTCCTCTCCCTCTGTAGGGCAACCCATAACAGATTTATTCCTTTCTGTATCTTTCAAAATCTACTTATTGCACCCTATGGATCTGAAATGGGAAAATGGAGCTAGTTTTCCTTCTGGTCTCAGCATGTCTTCTAGTTCAAAAAATAGAATTTGTATCACATAATAGAGAGCAAGTGAAAATCTTGCAGTCAGCATAGGCAAACTAGACTGAAGTTAGAAAACAAGTGTCATAGAAGAAAATTAGAATGTGTATATGCTCCACAGGTTGAGAAAGGGATGTAGTTAATTTTATAGGTCAGTTTTGTTTGGCAGATTAAAGAAAGGCTGATGCTCTATTTGCATCAATATGTAAAAAACAATTATCTTTGTGATTCTTATTGCTTTGAGAAAATAATCCATAAACATAGAATGAAAGAAATTACATTATGTCACTTAAAAATTATCCTATAGAATAATTGACTACATTCATTTTCCCTTTTAAATATTCCTAGGGATAAAAATTAGCATCACCATGTAAATAATATTGTCCTAGGAACTTTAGGTTTTATTGTAATAGTTTATTTTAAGAATCAATGTAGAAAAGCTTTAAGTTCAACTGAATGTTAATAAAAAGAGTTGGGAAACCAAGAAGTAATAAGATCCAGCAGATAGGACATCTTTGGTCAATTAATTATTTTTTATCTACCTAATATTCCATTTCAGGAAGCAAAAATGTCTAAATAATTAATAGTTAGAGATTTTTCTTATAAGATCTTCTTAAATAAAAATTTATATTACCAATGAAGAAGTTGTAATGAAGTCTAAAAAACTTTAATCATAATTTTTACAATTGCTTTTTAGATTACATACAATGTCTGGTTTTTCTTTTACAAACATAAACACTCCAACTATTGTAAAAATATTAACTAAGACAAAATAATAATAAAAATGATTATATTCTTTTTTACTACACTCCTCAACCCTACCTAAAAAATAACACAAATGGGTCCGGGCTGGATGGCTCAATTGGTTGGAGCATTATCCCATACATCAAAAAAATGTTGTGTATTTGATTCCAGTCAGGGTACATACCTAGGTTGTTATTTCCATCTCTAGTTGGGGCCTGTTCTGGAGGCAACCAATCAATGTCTCTCTCACACATTGATATTTCACGCTCTCTCTCCCTTCCTCTCTCTTTAAAATGAATAAAAGCATATTCTCAGATGAGAATTAAAAAAATTAACAAACAAAAAAAACACACACTCAAATTTATTTTAGTATATAGATAATAAAAATAATTTAAATAGATAACCGAGGTTTAACACAGGCTTGACATTTCTTTTAATACATTAAAAAATAATAACATAAAAATGTTGATACTTCTAATTCATTTTACGCAATACAACTTTACTGCTTTCCCTTTGAATGTTTGTAAATTTACAGTAAGCCAAGGACAAAATAGAAATTCACCACAAATTAAGAGTAATAAATAATTAAGAACAAATTATAAAGAAAGAACTCTTCTGCTATTAAGAAATCAAACAGGTATTGGTTCCCAAGGGATTTTAGAATTGCAGAATAAAATATGTATTCATTAACATCTGCAATTTTATCTAAATAAAGCTAGCAAACTAACTTTATCACCAACTCTACTTGAATTCACATAAACTTCTGTCTAATTTATAGACACATAAACTATCTTAACTACTTAGTAAAATAGACTTTTCATCAAAACAAATAAATAGAGTTCTAACCAGAACAGTTGAGCTGCTCATAGTATGCTCCATAAATTTTCAAAATGCTTTCATTCTTATATTGGCATAAGCTTAAGATTTCTTGAAAATCATATATATATATATATATATATATGCAAAATATTTGGAATCTTACCTGTAACAAGAAAGCTGCATCTCCCCGCTCCAGCTTCATTTATGATGCTACAGTTATAAACCCCATAGTTTTCATTGGAAAGACTCTTCACCGGGTATTCTGTGTACTCTTGAGAGTCAAACTGACCTGTCCGTAATAATTTGTTGCCCAAGCGCCACTCATAAGTCAGTACCCGTATGGGATAAGCTCTCAGAACCCGGCAGCTCATAGTGACACTTCGCTCTTGTCCTTGCCGGATTTCCAAAAATGCTGGTTCCACAGCAGGAGGATCTGTAGGAAAGAAATGTTAAAACAGGTAAAATATGTTGCAATGGTTATTCTTTTTTAAAAAGAATATGTTTTTATTGATGAGAGAGAGAGAGAGAGAGAGAGAGAGAGAGAGAGAGAGAGAGAGAGAAAGGGATAAGGAGAAAGAAACATTGATGAGAGAGATACATCTACTGACTTCCTCTAGCACACCCTCAACTGGGGATCTAGCTCATGACCTGGGCATGTGCCCTGACCAGGAATCGAACCAGATACTTCTCAGTGCATGGCAGGATGCTCAGCCAACTGAGCTACACCAGCCAGGGTAAGGCAATAGCTATTCTTATTGTGAAAAGTTATTTTAAAATATATCCAACAATAGGGAAGGAGTATAAGAGGTGGATAGAGTCATATTTAGGCACAGGATTTTCAGCTGGGAAAGGACAGAATGGGCTGGTCCAACACCCACATGTGGCATTTTTATTTATTTATTTTTTAATTGGGAGGGATATCTTGGCTGTGGAGGTCCCAGTTAGGAGCAAGGAGCCCCAGCCCTTCATCAAGGGTTCCTTGCTGGAAAGGAAAGTCCCTGTAATTTTGGTCTGTAAAAACCAGAGGGGAATGAGGCTGAGGGAGATAGGAGGGTTGGTAAGATTCCTAGGCAGTTCCTCTTAAAGGGCCTGTGCACAAACTTACTTGGACTAACTCCCTCTGAACTCCAGTGCTAGGGCAGCAGATTGAAGGGATCCAGGGCCATATGGGGAGGAACTAAACTGTCAGGCATCAGGGCAGGAACTGGGAGCAGCTTTCTCCTAGAGCAGTGGTTCTCAACCTTCCTAATGCCGCGACCCTTTAATACAGTTCCTCATGTTGTGGTGACCCCCAACCATAAAATTATTTTCATTGCTACTTCATAACTGTAATTTTGCTACTGTTATGAATCAAAATGTAAATATCTGATATGCAGGATGTATTTTCATTGTTATAAATTGAACATAATTAAAGTATAGTGACTAATTACACAAACAATATGTAATTGTATGTTCAATATGTGTTTTCTGATGGTCTTAGGCGACCCCTGTGAAAGGGTCATTCGACCCCCAAAGAGGTCTTGACCCACAGGTTGAGAACCGCTGTCCTAGAGGAAGGTGCTCACACAGGTCATCCTTCCTCTGTTGAGATCTCCGCCCACCCAAAGCTGACTGGCAGGAACCATAGCTGAGTCCCATCAACCTGGCCCACACTGTCTGTCAGGCCCTGATGATTCCATGAGATCCTTCCCCATCCAATTTGCAGCCCCAATCACGCTGTTTGGAGTGGTTTTTCCATATGAATGGCCTGTATTGGCTCAGGCTTCATACTTTCCTATAATCTCTAAAACAAGTAGTAGCTGTACTCAGTATGCCCCATACTTCTCAATAGGTGATCCCAGGCTTGGCACTAGCAGCAGCTTGTCATGGTTCACAGTTTGGCCTCTCCTAGGCAATTCTAAGCCCAACACTAGTAGCAACCATCTGCAGATCACTCTGTAACTCATGATGCGTGGCCCCAGGCAGGGCATAGGCAGTGGCTGACTTTATATTTCCTGGGAGGCCCCAGGGCCAGTGCACCCAGTGGACAGCTTCAAACAATGCAAGATTACAACTCTACCACATCCATGAGAAACACACTCAAGCAGCAGACTCAGTGAGCACCAAATCCCCACTTGAAGCAAGTCCTGCTCCATAGGAATGTCTCCTTCGCAGCAGCTCTTCCACTGTAGTGCAGCTGGTCCACGTAGCTGATGGCCTGGGGGTCAATCCCTCCAAGTGATGCTAACAGAAATCAAGGTTCAACAAAAACAGGAAATGCACAGTCCACACAGGAGTGCACCTAGAGTGCCCAGCTCAGGTGACTGGGGAGGCTGAGCCACTGGGTCCTACAGGACACATATTACACAAGGCCACTCTATAAAATTCCAGGAGACATAGCAATTCTATATAACACATAGAAATAAAGACAGGGAAGCAGCCAAAATACAGAGACAAAGAAACATGTCACAAATAAAAAAAACAGTCGAAATATCCAGAAAAAGCACTAACTGAAGTGGAAGCAAGCAAACTACTATATACAAAGTTCAAAACAATGGTCAAGGAACTTAGTGAGATTTTCAAGGAAATTAATGAGAACATGAACAACATAAAAAGAACCAGTCATAAATGAAGGATATATAACTGAAATAAAGAATAATTTACAGGGAATCAACAGTAGAGTAGAGGACACCAAGAATCAAATCAGCAATTTGGAATATGAAGAAGCATAAAACACCCAAATCAGAAGAGTAAAAGAAAAAAAGAATCCAAAATATGAAGATTGTATAAGGAGCCTCTGGGAGATATTCAAGTGTACCAATATTCTCATCATGGCAGTGCCTGAAGGAGAAGAGAGGGAGCAAGAAATTGGAAATCTATTTGAAGAAATAGCCTGGTCGATGTGGCTTAGTGGTTGAGCATTGACCTATGAACCAGGAGATTATAGTTCAATTCCTGGTCAGGGCACATGCCTGGGCTCTGGGCTCTATCTCCAGTGTAGGGCATGCAGGAGTCAGTCAATCAATGATTATCTCTCATCATTGATGCTTCTATCTCTTTCTCCAACTTTCTTCCTCTTTGAAATCAATAAAATGTTAAAACAAAAAGAAATAATGACAGAAAACTTCCCCTATCTGGTGAAAGAAATATACTTACACGTCCAGGAAGCACAGAGTCCCAAACAAGAGACTAACACCAAAGAGGCTAACACCAAGACACATAATAATTAAAATGCCAAAGGTTAAAGACAAAGAGAGAACCTTAAAAACAGCAAGAGAAAAGCAGGGAGTGCACATAAGACTATCAGTTGATTTCTCAGCAGAAATTTTGCAGGCCAGAAGGGATTGACAGGAAATATTTGAATTGATGAAGAGCAAGGACCTCCTACCAAGATTACTCTACCCAGCAAAGCTATCATTTAGAATTGAAGTTCAGATAAAAAGCTTCACAAATAAGAAAAAGCTAAAGGAGTTCATCATGACTAAACCAGTATTACATAAAATGTTGAATGATATTCTTGAAGAAAAAGAAGAAGAAGAAGAAGAAGAAGAAGAAGAAGAAGAAGAAGAAGAAGAAGAAGAAGAAGAAGAAGAAGAAGAAGAAGGCAATAAATACATATATATCAACAACTGAATCTAAAAGTCTAAATAAACAAATAAGGAATCTAATGAAGAAAATAAACTGACCACTTGCCCCTATAGGACACATACTACATAAGGGGAGACAGTTGTGATACTCTCAAAAATAAATATTTTTTTTAAAAGAGATGATAAAAAAGCATAAGCTGGTAAAACTAACAGAGTTTAGTTGTTTAATTTTTGTTGTTTTTCTAGCTGCCTCCCAGAAAAGATTATCATGACTGTGCTTGGATTATACTGTCAGAAACCAAATGATGTTCTTATGAATATAAAATTCAGAGTCTCCAAACTAGTATGAAACCTTGAAGCAGATAAAGATATTGGTGAATTATAATTATTTCCATGTGAGACTCAGTCCCCAAGCTTTGGATACCCATTTTTAATAAATTAGTTAACACAAGTATACACATTTATTTTATAAATTATTTGTCCTGAATTTATTTGACTGCCAGTCATAATATCAAGTATAAACCTTAAGCAAACTTTACACATTGTACTACAAGTGAATGTGGTTTTCAACCCATGGCAACATGTTCATTTATCTGGCTTAACTGTGATTTTTTTCGATGTAATTAAAACTTGCTACATTCGTACCTAATATATTTGTTTTTGATAGGAAGATTTCTAAAAGGTGTTACACACTTCTCTCCTTATTTAGAGTAGTCAAAATATAGTCCTTTTCTTAATGACTCCAAATGGTCATAATTAATGACAATTATTTCTGGGTGCTAACAATGGGCTTTATTTAATTAAAGAAATTGTATGTGACCACTCAGGATTGCACTGCACAACACAATCAAGTCCTTGATTAGATAGTTATAGCAACCTCTTGAGCTGTACAATACAAAACTGTACAGCTCTACCTGTTATCCCTTCCAGCAAGATACTAAAAGATTTTAGGACTACCACACCAAATGTTCCCTGTCTCATATTCTTTTCCTGTTATTCCATATACTTTTTATACTATTGCTCTTTTCACTGCCAATCTATTATTTGTTGAAAGCTTCTTTCAACAAATATCTTTAAACTGTCCTTCTAATTCTAGTTTTATTCATAAATTTAATGTGTTTTTTTTCCTTTAAAAATGTTTTGATTTCAGAGAGAGGAAGGGAGAGGAAGAGAGAAACATCAATGAGAAACATTGATGGGATGCCTCCTGCGCATCTTCTACTGGGACTCTAGCCTGCAACCAGGGCAACCTCCTGGTGTATGGGACGATGCTCAGCAAACTGAGCCACACTGGCTGAGCTTGAATTTAATGTTTTTAGTTCTTCCTATATAACTGCTAAGAATTAAAAAAAAATGAATGATTAGAAAAACATCCTGTCTGCCTATAAGTTTATGGTCTAATAAAATAGGCAGACATATAAATAGCTAATTTATAAAACTGAAGTAAAATAAACTATTCTAGGGTAGAAAGTAAAGAACTGAATAACACTTAGGAAGACTGACTTCCCAAGTGTTTCAGCAAGGCGTCTCGGAGAAGGTGATACTTGAGCTGTGATTTCCGGATATAAAGAAAACGATCAGGTTAGTAAGCATGAGCAGACATTCCAGGTAGGGGGATTAGTTCATGCAACTAATATAGAGACATAGAGATGGGGAAGTATTCAGAGAAATGTAGATGAGTTAGCATGTGATTATATTCTATTTTTCCCAAAAAGTCTGATGATCTTTCTATTTCACTCAGAACTCGTGGCACTTTATTCATTTACGTTTACTATAACTACTGGTATATTTGAATACAAATGAACCTTCTTATTTTGTACTTTTTATTTGTTTTGTTTTTTTCTTTGATTGTCTTATTTTAGATTGA